AGAATGCAGGGTTGTTGGTTGTTCCTAGAGTCTCTAAAAGTACAATGGGAGCCAGAGCCTTTTCTTATCAAGCTCCACTTTTGTGGAATCAGCTTCCAGTTTGTGTTCGGGCGGCAGACACCCTATCCGTTTTTAAGAGTGCGCTTAAGACCTTCCTTTTTGATAAAGCTTATAGTTAGGGCTGATTAGATTCAGCCCCTAGTTTTGCTGATATAGGCTTAGTTTGTCGGGGGACATCTTACTTCTTCCTTCTCTCTGTCTATACCTGTGTACTCTCATGTTCCGATTAACCCAGCTTCCCCAAATTTCTTTCTTTTTGGTGTCTATATACGCCGGGATCCGGAGTCATGGATGATCCTGCGGTCCTGTGTCATGGATTGCGAGCCCTGGATCTTGAGTCGTGGCTGTGGTCCTGGATCATAAGTCCTGGATGGATATACTCGTGGATTCATCTTCCTATTATACACACATGCATTTCCAAACATTTGGACTACCTATGTTGCAAATGTATTATCTTTTCAATTTACACACGGCATCTATTGCACGTCTGTCCGTCCTGGGAGAGGGATCCCTCCTCTGTTGCTCTCCCTGAGGTTTCTCCCATTTTTCCCTTTAAACTGTGGGTTTTCTCTGGAAGTTTTTCCTTGTACGATGTGAGGGTCTAAGGACAGAGGGTGTCGTATTGTCATACTGATATTCTGTACAAACTGTGAAGTCCACTGAGACAAATGTAACATTTGTGATATTGGGCTATATAAATAAACATTGATTGATTGATTGATTGATGAGCCTGAAGGCTAAACACCAGGCTTACTAATCTACCCGCACAGTTTCTCTGGTGTTGGAATTTCTCACGATGTTGTTAAATTCTTAAAAAACAAAACACAACACAACACAACATTTCATTTCGGGTTAAAATGAGTTTTAACTGCGTTAATGAGAATTGTAACGGTTAGTATATTACCCAAATTTCATTAGTAGTCCGTTACATTACTTTGTTAGAGCAAAAAGTAATACATTACTGTAACCCCGTTACTTTTGTAACGCGTTACACCCAACACTGACCTTTACAGTCCTGTCCTTTCCCTTTTTCTTTTCTACGTCCTTTATTTTCCTTTTCTATATGATGAGTTTTGATGATTAAGAGCAGCAGAGGGTATGACAGTTAATGCCTTGTTTACCCGTAAAATGTAACGTTTTGATGTATGATTTGGTGTGTAGACAGACATGATAAGGAGTCATCTCCCCAGATGCTACCTCAATGTCTTGGGCAAGATAGTGAACCCCAAATTGCTCCTGATGTGTGTGTGAGGGCCTGTTAACGTTTTTCTCTTCTGATGAGCAAGTGGCGTCGAAATGAAAATAATATGGTTTATAGATTTAGTGCATCCCTTTTAGTTCCCAGGAAACATGGACGGTTCGCTTTGAGTTGCTGTCAGCACCAAACTCTTTCAAACCAAAAAGGGTTTGGGGTGTTTTGGCCCATGTTATGTTTGCAAAAGCAAAAGCAAATACTACAGTAGAACAAAATAAAGAAATTACATTGCAACTGTTTCCTAACCAGTTTAAGATTCCCTGCAGTAACTTTAAATAAAGAACACCATGCCGTTAGAACTCTCTTTTTTTAATACTAAACTAAACTAACTTGATGTTGTCAGAGAGTTACAAACTTACCGTTGATGTCAGCTTTCTCAAATCGAACCCAAATGATTTTCTCTTTTTCATCAGTGGGCGGAGCTCCAGTGTATGCCTGTAGTTTGGAAGACAGATAAGATAACAGGTGTGACAACTATTCCAAACATTAATAATCCAAATGATATTACTCAATATAGTTTACCAGAAAAAAGTATAAATTGTATAAATTAACAAAATATGAATACAAAATCACAGGTAGAAATCTTGCAACAACCAAAGGGTATATGTATATATATATATAATTTTTTTTTTGTTCTTTTCCTGTAAGCTCAGGTATGCATCAGTTCTTATATTGCTGTTTTAAATCACATATCATTCAGGTAAGGTAACAAACTCAATTCCCATAACCTGTCTTTCATAAAAAAAGTATTGTTGTGATGATCTTAACTTAAACTTGACTGAACTATACTTTCAAATGAATGTATATGTTTACACTCTTTACTCTAGAGTGCGTTTCTTTATTATCTATCATTTTTGTAATAATGCATACGTTTTAAGAGTGAGTTTTCTAGCACCATTGCTCGAAATTTGGGACAAAAGTGTTCACAAACAGCAGACTAGAAGTGTTTTTCAGTATGCATACTGACTTTGTTGAGAATACTTCATTTTGTCACGTTTCTAGTATAACCATATCAACATACTCAAGACGAGCTGTACCAATTGAAATCAGACAGTGCTGGGGAATTGGGATAAAAAAAACTTGAAAACAGCTGACAAAAAGTTACCTGGGGTACCACATCCTGCAGGAAGGTCACCACACTTTCCATGTAAGACTGCTCCCTGTGACAGAAAACAGCCTGTTTAGATTGACAGCCCAGCAAAATGTAAATGTTCTAAAGCTATATAGATGTATTTATCTGCATGTAGATACTTAATGTAGTGGATTTAAATTATATTGAAAAAAGTAAATATCATTTGGGGAAACATTTAAAGTGGTGCAATTTAAAAACATATCCTAAAGATGACGTGAAAATATGCAACATCAAACTTCTTCAAGCAGAGTTTGACTTGTGCTTGGTGCCCAGGAACATGATTTTTTTTAAGGAGAAACAGACAGACGGATGGAAAGACAGAATCATATTAGGGATTTCTAATAAAATAAATATTGCTGATGTCTGTCCTTACGTAGCAGCTTGTGCCCGCACCAGAACCCCTCCAGCACAGCGACTAGGTCGGCATGGGGAGTCCGATGCCATTTCGTCACCCGTATGTTTTAACCTGAAAAGTTACAAAAATCACATATTATTATGACAGCAGCATAGAAATAAAACGAATCATTTATTTGCCCTGGAACTAACTTGTAGAGCACCGAATGTTTCCCTGTAGCATGCAAATAGAAGAACATGTGAAAGACAGGTAGAATTAATTTTTGCCTGACTCTACATCTCAGATTCAGCTTCTTAAATTTGAAATGTTTTAAATATTTGTTTAGACCAAAAAAAATCCCCAGCAAAATGTCAAGTATCTTCAAAGTCTTTGCTTTAGTCTAAAGATGTTCCATGTTAGTGATCTAAGAAAAGCAAGCGATTCAACAGCTGGAACCAGAGGATGTTCACATGTTTGCTGATAAATGACTTTAACATTTAATGAATTAAACTTGTCAAGCAATGTACTGTTGACCATCTAAACCATTAATAGTTTCAGAAGCGCACTGCACTGACTTTAAGAAAAATACATGTTGAGAGGGATGCTTTAACACCATTAATGTTACAGAAAAATGTGTCCCATCATTATCATATTGAGGATTTCAACATTAAGTGCAGCCAGAATAAGAAGCATATGTTATGTTGTTTTCTCATCCTATACTGCGTCTTTACTTGAGTGAGCATACTTTAAAATAAAGAGCTAAGATATACGACATATGGCTTCTCTTGTATACCCTGCCATACTGTTAAGCTTAGCTATCTTAACCTATATTATCGTAAGCATGTTTTCATTGAATGTATGCCTCACACACGTGCAAAGAAAAGGCTAATATCTGCAAAGCTTGTCAACTGTCAAGTCGACTCATTATGGCTATTGTCTAACGGTAGAGTTATTTCGTCTGATAAGGACCCTGCAGCTAACTTAGCTAGCATTAGCATTAGCTTAAGAAACTCTCGTGTAGTGATAAAACGACACAACCGGAGCCTTACAAGAGGATATGCATGTGTCGAGTAATGTAAGACTGTATTGTCAAGGAGATATAGTGACAAACCGTAGTGTAGAATGACGACTGTGTCCTTGCTTGTGGACTTCTGTGAAGAGCTCTTTACAATAACGGTGTCAAAACAAAAACAGACTGGATTTGCGGAACTGTGTTGTTATTGGAAGCCAATCCGATCGCAAAAACGTTTTTGTCAACCCAATCAGCAGACAGTTAGGGCGGGACTAGTGCCTTCGTCACATTCACATTGTCTTATCATTTGACAAATGAAACATCACAAGTCTCTTACATGTCTTACAAATAGTTCAATACAATAATTACAACTACTACAAACGAATGTTTTGTCTGAAAAAGCCTGTCTCCAAAATCATTCTTATTTTATATTTATTGATAATTTTACTTTATTATAATAACTATTTTAATAATATTAGCCTACTAGTTGTATTTTTTTTTTACTTTTTTCTGAATTGAAGTATATTTGTTACTTTATTACATTTGCAATTCCTTTTTTCCTAAACCAGCAAACAGAAACGCGACTGTAGTGCTTTTTTTGTAAAAGAAGAAAGAAAAAGCAAAGAACATTTCATAGCTCCCAAAAATAATAACTTCATTTAATAATGGGTAACCATAACCATTATTCTTGTCTAATAGCAAGGTGATATGGTAATTAATTTCCTCATGAGGAGTTTCCCAACTTATATTCATTCCAATCCGGTATCTAACCCTAAAACTAACCCCTAAACCTTTACCCCAGTGTATACAAAAAACAGGATAGAAAAAACCCAGTACCATCAAACCTCTCTTTCTGAAAAAACAGCACATTTTATGAAACGTCAGGGATTTTAAGTTTATAAAAATTATTATATTTATTCTTTCACTTTTTTACCAATGTCTTTTTAACTTTAACAAAGCCTTTCCCTCTACCTGAAGGGCCTAAGTTTTACCATCTAGACCTTTGCTTGAGTTTCTCACACAGGCTCATTGCGACACATAAGAACACCCTAACCTGAAACAACAGTCAACTGAGAGACACCAGAACCACCATCCACAGACCAAACAAGGAGGGGACAACGTCCATGTGAGACAGGTTAGGGCCCCTAAACTATGAATACTGTATTTATATAAAAATCTGACTGTGAAATCGAGTGAAGGAGGGAAACAGGCACAACTCACACATAGGTACACCACCAAGCTCAAAAACACTACACAGTCTCTCTTCTCACTTAACACACTCATCCACTACAATACAGCATACACACCACGAATAGAACTACATCCACTGATATACATCTTTATGGTCCATTGACTCACCCACTAGATCAATAAACTAGACACCTCAGTAAGCAATACTTTAAGCTAATTCAAGCAATACACCACCAACACAAAATAGAAAGGCCCTTGCAGCTAACACATATTCACATAAGTCAACAGACTTACATAATTCATTATAGCATCCACACCAACAGAACAAACACTCACCAAATTACATAGCAACACCATCAACTGCATACATATACATGATTCTACAACAACATTACAAAACCATCATATACAGTAAACCCTAATCCTTACACTTCCCTTCCCCAAACCTTAACATCTCCTTCCCTCCAGCTACATATAGAGCCAAGTGCCATCTGGTCAAATCCAATTTACAGGACTGGTGCATGACAGGTACTAAACCAATCCGGATATTGGGAGAATCCAACCTTTCCAGAATCCCACCCATCCCAGGAACCAAAACATCCAAATTGACAGCTACCCAGGGCCAAAGCCTACAACTTATTATAACTACTTAAACCCAACCCACCCCCTAGGGTCTAAACTCTTATCCTGTCTAGTGGTATCAATGAACCAGAACACCAGACAAACTATAGCACGGCTCAGGGCTCTTCCCAAACTTGCCAAAACAACCTCACGCACACAAAAACAAATCTATAACCGATCAATTAATCTAGGTTCTAGACGCCAAACCCCTGACTGGTATCCTACACAACATGATCACAACCAGACCAGTCAAGATCCATTGTATGACACCCACAGCTCAACTCATACTGGAAAAATGACTCCAACTGTTACAGATAAATGTATAACGCTTATAATCGCAATCCAGCATACAGTACATACAGTATACACCTACACGTAACCTACAATCTGACGGGACCCACATCCCCTCTAAACCCAACCCCGAACCTGACCTGGGGTGGAGTTCATCATCCACAGTTATCAGTCTAGATAATTTTTCCTCTCTGCAGTACAGCAGCGGCTATTGCAGAGGGGCCTGACCTTTGTTCCACGCCCCTCTGAGTATGACTGGGAGTAACTTCGTAGGCATCTACACCGATACCAGATAACCCTTGCCCCACCATGTGATTCTTCACATTAGACCTAGAGTATCAGACTGCAAATGTTATTAGGGCCAACTATCCACTGAGCATGCTTCATCAAATATGCCACTATTTGGACATAATCAGACCCATACTGTTTCGACTCACTCCTACCGCTTCACAATTGATATCAACAGTCCATATAATAAAGAAATAGGCCTATCAAATGGTATCCTTAGTAATCAGCAATTCATCAACCACACACAAAATACCAATTGAACGAGTTCCTTCAGGCCTACCATGAAACACTTCTATATCGTATAGGTAATCCCACACAACAATTTAATTGTATTTTACGCAGGGACCAGAATGGGCATTTGACTTAAAGTGGAGAGCATGCACGGCAAACCCACAGACACGCTACGGTGCCTTAACCCCAACCCCAACCCAAGGGTAAAGGAGGGCTAAGGTTAAAGATGTAAAAAAATAGCTGCACTTTGAGACATTTTAATTACATTTTATATTTGGAGTCAATGAAAGCTACAGTACATTAATGAAAAACGCTAGAGGTAACACACTTGGTGCACATAAGCTGAGACAGAAGACAATCAAACACACTTAATTCCATGACACCACTCCTCACATTTGGGGATGAAATCACTGACCAATATGAACGCTCATCTTGCTCTACACACTTATACACATCAAACCATTCAACATGAGTTCTTGTGATGTAATTACTTTTCACTTGATGTGAACAATTATTCAGAGTCAATGAGACGGAAAGTGTTCTGCAGTTGATCACAAGAACTGGCTTTGTTTACTTCCCCCAACACATAATTTGCTCTAACTCGCATTTACAATGATACTCTGTCTTACCGTCATACACATTTCAACTGACTGCATTGTGTGCATATGTGTGTGTGTGCAATCCTATATATTTCTTGTTCTACATTGTGTTTTCTGTCTATTTGTTTCCATTTGGATGCCAGTCGGTGTTCAAATGCATCTGTAATATGAATCTCCGTATCAGTGAGCATTATTGTGTTGTGTATTATTTTACACCCCATTTACACCTTACTACCATGTGATAGGAATAAAAACACATGTAAGCGTTTAAATGGCAGCATGCAGATATACATTTAAGGTTAATCTTAATGTTGTTGAGAATGAAATAAATGTTGTATACCAAAGATGACTTTGGTGTTGACTTTTCATTGCTCTTGAGTTATTGGAAATGTTAATGATCAAAACTAATCCTACCACTGGAATGTACTAATAGTATAATTAGGCCAATTAGTATTAATTAGTCATGCCTAATCTTTATCTGTACGTGATTGGCTTAGGGCCAATCGAAACAGAGCCGGCCAGCTAACTAATCAGAGCAAACTGCAGGCTCTGGTCACAGACAGAGGGTGAAAAGAAGTGCTGCAGCACAGGCAGTATGAGAAAATACCTTTTTTAACATTAAAGCATTTAAAAATGTCAGGGTAGAGGCAAAAAATACTAATTATGAACCTTAAATTGAGCATAATAGGGCCCCTTTAACCCTTGTGTTGTGTTTGGCTCTCCCGTGACCTAGTTTTTTGTTATCTGAACAAGGCTTCATGATATCCTCCACAACAGCTATATAAACACTACAACACTGATTTTGTCAATTTTAGCCAAGTCTGAAGGTCTCTAAAAAAAAAGTGTATAATTGTTATAATGGGGTTCGGGCCCAATCAAGATTCATCTTTGACTAAAGACACCCCACCCCAAACCCCCACCCCCTTCATCCACTGTAACAATAATCTTTTCGCAACACGCACCTGGTCTATCATCATCATTTATCTTTGGACTGAGATAAATCATGGGTAAAAATGTACCCGTGAACACCATGAACGGTAACAGCTTTCGCACACAACACAAGGGTTAAACTAAATAGACATGTTGTCTTACATGTGCTGCAAAAGCAGAATTAGACCATTGAAATGCGGAAGTTAACAAATTAAAGCTATAGTTAACACAAAATGTGATGGCTCTGATCAATACATTGATCATATTTTGGGATAAAATGTTACAGTGAGACTGTGCAGGAGACAGTGCACGGTCCAGCTTTAACACATGTATTCAGACCCTGCGTGGTTTTCTTCGTCCACCTGATGGCAGTATGACTCTAGCTATGAAGCTTCCACTAAATCCTCCCTCTTTGTTCTCCTGCCAATTTCTCTTCTCCTGATGCCTTTTTTTTCCTTACAACATCTATGAGAGGAGAGAAAAGGAGAAGAAAAAAGTATCCCCGGGTTAAAATAAATAGCCTTTCACAGTTAATTTAATTGACTATTATATACAATATCGAGGTAATTCCGCCTCAGCTGCAATAACAAACAAAAATAGCATTGCCTCAGCAATCAGTTACTACACAAACAGAGAAAGGCTTTAATCTGCTTCTATCACACAAGATCCAAGAATGAAGTTTGTTCAGACACTGAGGCACCTGTTTTTTGAATTGTTGTAACATCTCTGCAGAGGAATAATACACTCAGTTGTAGAAATTAAGAGAATGAATATGTAATATTCTGCAAGAGAACAGAAGAGTACCGTGACATATAATTAGATTTATATTTCATGTCCCTATCGCATTATGAAGAAATGGATTTGAATATGTATGTACATTTTTAGAAAGGTTCAGTTCCTTCAAGGACAATTTTATTTGCAATAAGAGTTAACCTTGTGGGGAGAACATTGACATTTCTTAACTTTCCTGTCATTTTATTAAAGTCTTTGTGTAATTTCAGAGGTTCAGAGTTGAGGTCAGTGTCCAGAAATTGG